CGCCGTCGCTTTGGGGTCGGGACGACCCGGCGGCCGCCTTGGGGGCGTCGGGCCCCAGCCAGGCGCGAGAACTAGGGCCGAGATCGCGCCGAGATCGCGCCGAGATCGCGCCGAGAGACTCTCGGCATCCCTCCCAAGACCTTTCCCGGAGCTTTCCCGGAGCTTTCCCGTAGGGCGCGGAGTCAGCCTCCTCTCGCCCGCCGCGGCGGCGCCGCCGCCGAGCGGCGCCGGCTCCAGCGCGGCGCACGCGTCGGCCATGCCGCTCGGCATCGCCGCGCAGGCAGGCATCGCCGCGCGGGCGGGGGCGGGCGAGGGGCCGCTCTTGCGCCGCCTCGAGGCGGTCGGCGGCGGCGGCGGCGGCGGCAGTGGCGGCGGCGGGCTTGACGGCGGCGGCCCGGCTGACGGCAGCGCGAAGGAGGCTAGGCTGAAGAGCGCGATGCAGTCGAGCATCGCCGGCTGGGGCTACCGGCCGGTCGAGGCGAGGGGCGGCGGGGCGGCCGTGCCGTCGCTCGCGCGACTGATGGAGGAGGAGGAGGACCGGCGCACGCAGCAGCAGCAGCGCGCGTCCGAGCAGCCGCGGCCGCAGCAGCGGCAGTGCCCTCCGCCCCAAAGCCGCGCCGCCGCCGGCCCCCTACCGCACGGTACCCGAACCCACCCTCCCCCAAGCCGCGCCGCGGCCGGACCCACCGCCAGCGCAGCCAGCATCCCGATCCTCCACTTCGTGCCGCGCGCCGCGCCGTCCGCCGCGCCCGCCGCGCCGCCCGCGCCCTGGAGCGCGTCCGCATCGGAGCCCGCGGCTGCCTCCGACAAGCCAGCGGCGGCGCCAACCCCGCGGCTGAGCGACATCTTCGCCGAGCAAGGCGAGCAAGGCGGTCACGCGCCCCCGCCCGCGGGCGCCGCCGCCGCCGCCGCGACGCCGTCAAGAGAGACGCCGCCGAGGCACGGCGGCGGAGGGCGTGGCCGGCCAAAGTTCAAGCCGCTCGACGCCGCCGACGTCGCCGCCGCCACTCCGCCGCGCTCGCGGCCGGCGCCGTGGAGCGTCGCCTCACCCGATGGCGGCGCGGCGCCGCCTCCGTCCCGCTCGCCTGCGGCGGCTTCCGCTGTCGCAGATCTTTGCCCAGCAGCCAACGGGCGGGGGGCGGCGGCGCGAGGAGCGCCCGGCCGAATCGACCCGGTGGGGGATGCTGCCAGAGGGGCCGCCGCCCCTGCCGGCCCGGTCCAATCCCGGCGTTTCTCGGCGCTATCTTGACGCATCTCGGCGTGCTTTGGCGCTCTCGGCCGCTCCTCGGCGCATCTCTGCGCACACCGGCCGACCCTTGGCACATCTCGGCAATCTCACAGGTGCCCGTCGTCTCGCTCGCCGCCATCTTCTCAGAGGAGTCTGCGGCGGACGTCGAGGCCGCCGAGCTCGCCGCCGCCCTCGCCGCTGTCGAGGCGGCCGAGGCGGCGGCGGCGGGGGAGGAGTCCGCGGGGGGCGGGCGGGCCGGCGCAGCGGGCAAGGGACCCTCCAAGGCTCGCGCTAGAGGCGGGCGCGGCAAAGGAGGGGGCGCAGCTGGTCGCCGCGGCCGCGGTGGCATCGACAACAACAACAGCGGCGACAATAGCGGCGCGCCGAGCACCAGAGCCAAGCAGGGGCAGCCGAGGGGCGGGGGCAGAGGCAGAGGCCGCGGAGGAGGCCGCGGCCGGCCCGTGGCGGCAGTCGTTCGGTGACTGGCGGCACCTCGCGATGAGACTCGCACAGTGTGGCGCCGGCCGCCGCGATATCCTGTCGAGCGCGAGAGCGTTCGTGTACAATTTTGTGCCACACACGTCGCCGCCGGGGCAAGCGATGTGTGTGGACTCCGCGAGCCTTGTGGCTGTGTGAGAACAGCGAACAGATTATACATTTCAAAGAAGAGTGCCCCAGTTGCCACACAGCAGTGCCAGTGCGGCAGAGTGGCCAGTGCTAGACTCGCTCTGCCAGTGACACCACAAACTCTACGCGTCAGCAGCGTTGTCGATTGACGTGATAATGCGGTCGATGAGCCCGTACTCGAGCGCCTCCTCCGCCGACATAAACTTGTCGCGGTCGAGGTCCGCCTGCAGGGAGGGGCGAGGAGGGGTTCGGGTGAGCCAGGAAGGAGGCGACGGCAGCGGCGGCGGCGGCGGAGTGGGCGGCGGCGGAGACGGCGCCGGCGGGGAGGCCGGTGGGGCGGGCGACGACGGCGGCAGGGGCGAGCGTGGGGCGGAACCTCGATCCTCTCTTGCGTCTGGCCCGTCATCGTCGAGTAGAGCCTACGGGAAGGTTCGAGGAAGGTTCTGGGGCGGGCGCGTGGACGTGATGGCGTCGTACGAGTGAGACAAGGGGGGGGGGGGGGGGGGGAACAGGGTGGAATGGGGTAGGAAAGGTGGAGGAGGGATTTGAAAGGGGCCAATTGAGGGGTAATTGGGAAGGGTGAAAAAAGAAGGGCACGGGTGCCAAGAGGGCCCGGAGGTGGAAAGGGTGTAAAAAGAAGTGGAGGGGGTTGCAAAAGGGGCCGGAGGTGGAAGGGTTGTGAAAAAAGTTGAGGGGGTGCCAAGAGGGGCCCCCGACGAGCTGCCCCTTAATTTTGAGAATCTGCCCGGCCTCCATGCGGATTTC